AAAAAACTGTAATCCTCCATCTTTATCGACCTCCCTTAGTCATTTATCCCTCACACACTCTCTCCCTCCTTCTCTCCCTCACTCATTTCATCACTCACTCAGTCCCCTGCATCCTACATCCCTCATCTATTCCACTTTTCCTAGATCTCTCCCTTAGTCAATTATCACTTCCTCACTCATTCACTCCCTCCCTCACTCACACACACAGAGAGAGATTTTTATTCCTTCACTCACTAAATCACTCACCCCCTTCCTACCTCACTCATTCACTCACTCAATGGCACACAAACACACGCTCACATAACCCTTCCTTAGTCACTCCATCCATCACTCACTAACTCACTTACTCATTCACTCAGTCACTCACTCACTGACTCCCTGTCCACACCCTCCCTTACTCTCTTTTGCTTTCTAGCTCCGTCACTCATTACATCCCTCCTTGTCTCCCTGTCGCCATACTTCACTCACTCATGACATCACTCAATAGCTCACTCTTTTCCTCAGTCAGATGGAGTCAGGGTGTCTAAATCAGACCTCACCTGGACTGTTAACACCTCAACCCAGCACAAAGGACCATTAACAGCTACTGCTTCTTGAGCTGCCTCCAAAAGCCACCAGAGGAGCCTTTTTCACTACCAGTCGACCAGCAGCTATTATATTTAAGTTTAAATTTAATAACTTTTATCTTGTTTCAAAATCAATGTTAATGCAAAGACAAACTCTTTCATTATATGCTTTCTTTATTAAATAATATATATGCTGGTACAATTTGTTTGGAGGAACTGAGGGTTTCTCCCCTCCCCTTCTCTCTCAGACAGTTACAACAGCAGCTGTAATTGACTGACAGATAAAGCAGCAACATTATTTTGTGGAAAGATCAACCCTCACCTGACTGTCATGTACAATTAGAGCAGAGTCGTTTAACATATTTATTGACTCTTAAAGGAACAGGAAGTAAATGAACAGGGAGCCTTCTTCTCTGACCTGAGATGGGAGATGTGGATTAAAACAAAGACAAAAACAGTAGAAATCAGTCCTCAAAGCAGACCGTTGCCTTACAAATCTACTGCAGTGGAATATTTATTCTTTCTTTAAACTGTCAGCGTTTTTTAAATGCTTTTTGATATTATTTCAGATCAAGTGTTGAAATTTAAATGTACAGCATCCGAAATAGAAGAGACGTTTAATTCTGGCGTCTTAAACTGTTTGTATTGTTGCATTTGATTTTGAGTGTCTGAAGAGGAAAATGAGAGACTGGATATATTGTGCACATTAATTTAATCGGAAGACACTACACAGACATTACATTATTACAGTTTTTCTGAATTGCTAAAACACATTTCCTAAAATCTCATCTCTTTGTGTCAAAACACTAAACACAAACTGTAAAATTCAAGCTACACTCACATAACCATTAACTTGTCTTGCAAAACCAAACATTTGACTCAAAACTATTTTAACTTTACTCAAAATCAACCGCTACTGTCAAAAGCCACACAAAACCAGCCAATGTGCAACAACTTAGCAACGATTACACACTACAAAAATAAATACAAAACACTGTGAGATAGCTGGAAAATAACATTTATCTATTCATTCATTTATTCTTGCACTCACATTTTAACAAAACAAAAAGAACTGCAGTAAAAAAAAAAAAAAAAGTTATATATACATTAAAAAATTATATATTTTTACAACATATTCAGATAATTTATCCTGCCTCAGCATCACGCCTCTGTGCTGGGTCAGGCCACAGAACTTCATCCACATTACATGCTATGGTCTCCCCTGCAATGCAGCGAGGAAAGAATCGTTTAGGATGCCGAATCCAGTTCTGGCAAGATTCCACTCCTATCTCACCACAAGCTCCATTCAATGCTTGAAGTAGATTTTCCTGTGTTTAAGGGTTTCAGTTATATACTTTACATCTCCATGCTGAGAAAAACTCCTCAATAGGGTTCAAAAAGGGAGAGTATGGTGGAAGAAACAAATTCATAAAATGCTTCTCATTGTGAAACCAATTGTGTATTCTTGGACCACGGTGAAAGCTCACATTAGCCCAAATGATATGAGATGCTCTGCCTGCTCGCGATCTCTCTACTCAAGCGAAGCATCCCGTAGACCATCCAGGAATGTTGCTATAAGTTTGTTGCTGTACGGCCCAACAGTAACATGACTGTGGAGAACCCCATAGCTGCTGATGGCAGCAGAGAAGTTACATTTCCACCACGCTGGCCAGGCAGTTCAATAATGGCACGCTGACCTATGACATTGCGAGCTTTTCTTCTCTTTTTTGTTAGATTCAAAATTTATGTTGTCTTCTATATTCTCTTGCTGCATTTCATGCAGTCAAATTGCATTTTTCTGATGGACCATATCCACAATAAGTGTCTCCTGGTGTTGTGAGTGCATGCGTGTTCTTCCACCCTCATGTGGCCGTCTTTAAATTCTAAACAAAATACCATTTAGTTATAAGTATACTTGTATACATAGCACATGTATAGATTATACTATTTCATTTACAGAACTAAAATTAGTTTGTTGTGTACAGAGAATCTTTGAGCTTGACTCAACGGTTAGGCCTCATGAATACATCTTCGTGGATGAAGCTGTATTCAATCTAGCAAAAAGCAGAAGAAGAGGTTGTAACATTTCAATTTTGAGTGGTAGTGTGTTAACGATGAAAACATTGTGTTAGTTGTGTTTAACTTCTGTAGCCTGTGTGCACTGTTCTGGGTACAAGTGCACCACACTGCTAAATGTGTTTTGTGTTTGAGAATGTGTTTAGAGTTTGGTAAATGGGAGATTCAGATTGGCAAAGGGTGTCCTAACCAGATGAATAGTGTTTAAGATTTTGGCAACTGTGGGATTGATTTGATGAAAGAGTTTTCATAGCTGACAGTTTCGTTATTACATTGGGATTTAGTGTTTTAGCAATTCAGAAAAACTGTAATGTAAACACCATGGGTTTAGAACTGAACTCAATTGGTTAAAGTTTTTACATTGACAGGAGTAAAAAATATATTGACAGACTTCAGATTATATGGGATCATTGTAGTTCCTGAATTAATTTAATGGGAAAAACAAAACAAAAATCACTCTGTCTGTTTTTGTTACAAGTCACGTCCTTGTTATAAGACTAATACATAACATTTTACCAGATGGAGATAAAAATAAATAAATAAAAGCCCTGACGGAGCACAACTTCCTCTGAACGACAAGTGCTGAACATACTGACCTCAGCCTGGTTTAATACAACACTGATGTCAGCCTGCTGAATGTAAAAATGTAATGTTTATGACTCAGGCCCTGTAGGCGAACCTGCACACAGACAGAAATGATTAAAACAAAAAAATTCCCTGCCTTCACTGTGGTAACAATTAGCAACCACAGATTGATGCAGTTTAAAAATGAACTATTAAACTCAATTTTCCACACATGAATACTATCATAGCTTTAGTTTTAATAGATCATCTTGCTGATGTCAGCATGACAATATCAGCAATATTTTATAGATCATTGGGCTGACGTCAGCAAGATGACATCAGCAGTTTATATAGGTCATTTATGCTGATGTCAGCACTGGTAATATGGAAATTTATTGTAGTGTATTAATCTTTTTGTGTCATTGTGAAGTCATATAATGTCTTGAAAAAATGTTTTAAAGAGCTAAAGCAAAGAAAGTTCTTATGTTTCTTATGCTTCTCCGCATGTTTTCCAGTAGGGGGCGGTAATGTCCCTACAAACGGAGGCATCAGTAATCTTTAAATTGGACCCAGAAGAAGACGCATTCGACCTTTTATTATTACTATTATTAGGTAGCTAAGAGGACGGTGTTTCGGCGAAAAGACGCTCGTAGAAATTTCTCCTAACTATAAGTTATAGCTTTTGATAAGTTGGGTTTTAGCTGAAGTAGTTTCTTATTATTGTTGAATTCTGCTGGATTTTTCATCTTCTGCGTCGTTGGGCTGGACAGTGTTAGGAAAGGCTGATTCTGAATCCTCTCGCAGGGTGTTATGTCTTTCCAGAGTAGCTGGGGGATGGTCATGGAAAAGTTCTGGGATTCAGGGATTCCTTGTTTACATCCTCCCGGAGTACGTCTCGGGGGCGGGCTTGGCTCCGCCCTCATTCTTTAGCCCTGACGTCATTGTCGCTTGTGTTTTTTATGAATGAAAGAATCCAACCTCAGAGAGCAGCGGAGTAATTCCGGGAAAAGGCGGACTGACATTTTGTCGCCGGAGTTGCGTCGAGCCATCAGGTAAACCATTACTTTTTTATAAAAATACTAAACATTAAAATGTTTAGCCGGTATTCGTGGTAACAGCTGAGCACTAGAGGAATGGTATCTGCCGGGGGACGTGCCAACCAGAGTAACCAACCAAGGACAAATGAGCAGTCAGCAGCTGGCTTTAATCTCCTTTAGCCTGTCACTAACCGTTTATGCTAGTTGCTAACAGTTCATACTAGCATGTTTAAGATGATACGAATAATTTGGCCCCGCTCTGCATATTTCTGTCTATATTTCGGCTAGACTGACACGCAGAGTTGGTTATCACTTCCGTATTTCATAAGTGTGCTTAAATACAATTTAAATGGATTAAAGTCTAGATGTCGGAAGAGGCTCTAATGATAGCTGTTTACTATAGCGCACATTTGCCCTACGGTGTCCAGCCCCGCTCTTTAAGGATAAGGCTAGATGCTAACTGGAGCTAGATAAATAAATAAATATAGGTCCCAGGCCTGGCTTGTATTTTCCACTCGATATTTAATCATTGTATATTAAGTATTGAAGATAGACGGGAGTGGAATTTCTGAAATCGTGCTATAGCTTACGTTTAGCAGTGTTGCGTTGACTTGTTGCTTTCCACTTAAGACAAAAAAAGCAAAAACTACTATGTCCTCCAACTGGGTATTTATAGTGTGGCACAAATGTGGATATCCTGTGTTGTTTGGACTGACCGAGAAAGACGCGGTCACCCCTGGTTTTCCTATATTTGTACTGACCGGCAGTCTTGGTGGAGCTGAGCAAGAGCTTTATTGCTGAATCACCCTGACTTTACGAAACGGCGGTCTCCTCGGTTTACAGCCGGAGTCCGACGGCTGGTTGGACAACCGCTGTTGCTGCAACCTCTACTTCCTACGCATTTCGGGAAATGCTGTTTATTGTCCGGCCATAACAGCCTTTTTTTATTTAGCTTATTTAGTTTTACCATCCAGTGTGCCTGAGTTGGAGGCCCATGCAGCAAGTTATTGTTTTATTTATTATGACTACGCAGTCATAGAAAATGGGATTCCCCCCAGAGTGAAAGAGATCAAACGTGACATTTTAACTCGAATGACCCTTTTTGGTTATGTTTTGTTTGTGGTTCACTTGTTGGAAATGTAAGTCGTCTCCTGTAAAGTCTAAGCACATCAGCAGTCTTCTTTTTATAGTCATTAAGGCATCAGGTCTGTATCTTTTATGCCTGATTTATAGAGGAAAAGTTACAATATAACTGGGGTTTCTAAAATTGTTGTGACACAATTTAAATAAAGCTGTGAATGTCTTTTAAATAATTAAAATGAACACACTGCTTTTTTGTGATTTGTGATTTTTCAAGAGAAAAAAGGCTAAAAGGTTGTTAGGGATCAGTCTGGGTCTCAGGAAGAAAAATAAAGAAAAAGAGATGACTGCACTCATCTCTTAGCTCATCAGAGACGCTGCCAAAAGGTCAACAACAACAACCTTAAAGTAAGCGGTGAGCGCTCTGTCATGACATGCAGCTTTTTGGGTTTACTGTGTTTTTCTCAAACCTTCTGGACTACAGCGTGAGAGCAGCACAGGGAAAGACCATTCGCCATAAGGAGAAAATCCAGTGTTGCAATAAATGAGAAAGTTAACAGAGTGAATTTGCAGAAGTAAGATGGGAAAATCCCCATGGTTTGCATGATGTCAGAGTGAAATTTGGTGGTCTTCATTAAACATTATCATACAAAAAGTTTTAGCAGTATAGCTGGCCCAGAGTGCCTTCATGTCAACAGACCACTTGGCCATTTGTATCCTTTACTTTCACATTAGGATCTGGGTGAAGGAAAGACAACAAAAGATGTCTAAGGCTGAAGTGCTGAGTGAGGTTTTTTTTTTGTTTTGTTTTTTAGTTTTTTAAATAAGCAACAAAGGAGTGACTAAGGTGGGGGAAGAAGTTGAAGTTGGCCCATTTAGGTTAGACTTTAATCCCACGCTGTGGCATTTGAGAGGCGTGTAGCAGTCCTGATAAGAGTCTGTGTGAAACCTGTGCTTCTTGGGTAGACTCTTTAAGACATTTTATTACATATTTATTTTTAAATCAAGTATTGTAATTTTTCAAGTTTAACTGTTTAAAAAGTGTCCCTTTTAAAAACCACGTATTCAAGTTTTTGTTTTTTTTAAAGCCAAGGGCCTCGAACCGTTGGTGTTGTGCTGACAAGAGGAAGTGCTCAGGGAATTGGTTAGGACACCTGCTTTGAGCAACCAAAGGGCAGCCACATGATAACTTCCTCCTGATAATTCCAGCTAACAGAGAAAGGCATGTCACTTTCAAAACCTCCCCTTTCTTTCACATGAAACCACAAATTGTAATGAGACGGCGTGCTTTGGAGAAGCACGAAAGATCTGCAGGTTCTCCTTTTTCTTCAGTAGTGCATGACTGCATGTCTTGTGAGCGGCTGGTGAATGTCAGGCAGACTATGAACCAAAAATGCACAGTGTCCCACATTTCATGTGATGTTGTTTGTTTGTTTGTTCCTTCAGATTGTGTGTATCTGGTTTTACTGGTGCTTGGGGAGGGGAAAAAACAAAGACAACTGGATCATGACGACAGAAAGAAACAGCAAAGCTCTGAAGGTAAAACACAGCCAGACATAAAACCGAGTCGGGGGGGTTGTTTTGTTTTTTCAAGAGAGAAAACTGTCATTTTGAAAAAAGGAAGAAGAAAAGAAAGTATGTTTTTCTTTCTCATTCTTCCTCCCTTAAATGCTTCCTCTCTTCCTGTTTTTACTTCAGGTGAAGCAGGAATGCGGCGAGAACGTGCCCTTCCTCTCGGACAGCGAACTAATGTCCCTGTCGGTGCGAGAGCTGAATCTCCACCTGCGTGGCCTCTCCCGCGACGATATCCAGAAGCTGAAGCAGCGGCGTCGCACCTTAAAGAACAGGGGATATGCCGCCAGCTGCCGGGTCAAACGGGTGTCTCAGCGAGAGGCCCTGGAGCAGCAGAAGATGGAGCTGCAGAGAGAGGTGGAGAGGCTCGGAGCCGAGAACGCCGGCATGAGGAAGGAGCTGGAGGGGCTCAGCGCACGCCTGGCTGCGCTTCAGAGATTCGCCAGGGGTCTGGAAGCGGGAGGAGGCAGCCTGTTGGCGACGGCCCCTCGCCTCAACACCGCCTCGGTCATCACCATCGTCAAGAGTCCGCAGCAGCCTCAGCCACAGAGGGAGCAGGAGCTATCCTAGAAGGAGATGCTGAAACCAGACTGGGGTTTGGGATTCGGGGTGGGGACGGGGAAGCCTGCAATGCAAACACGCACACATCTGCGGGCCTTAATACTCACGCAGGCAGGAGAGCAGGATGACTTGTAATAATAGGAAAATACTAAGCGCCTTGTTCACATTACAATTGACAGAAATCCGATCACAGCTACGATCACCTTTCTAACAAACAAGACAACAGAAACAGGTTCAGTACTGTAGTTTTGATAGAGATGTCCTCTGTTGATGGTCCTCCGTGAAACAGCAGTCTGGTCAAGTAAGATTTACTCAGTGATCTTTTTTAATTTTCTTGAAGCACTCAAACTTTCAAATTCTGTTTAATGTGAACAAGGCGTCGCACATATTTATGCACAAAAAACCCTCACAGTCTTTCCCATGAGCTACACGGGGACTCTGACTGAAGCCCAACCAAGCCAAACAGGGTTACTGAGCACCATTAGTCCTCAGCAAACCCCCACAGTGAGGCTGGTGTAGCCTGATTATGCTACTTAAAGGCTGGGGTGCCTTTCTGCTTCCGTTTATGGCACCTGACCAACAGCAAAATGCTAGGGTGGAGCTTCCTCGGTCTCCATAATGCCTTCTAGTCTGAAATCACTAGCTTGGCTCAGCCTCGTGTTCCCACCCCCCTGTATTTTTTTCCTTTTATTCCCTCTCAATGCAGTTTCTCACCCTTTATGTCACTTTTATGTGCCGGTGGGATAATCGAATCTGTTTTCGCCTCCTTCCATTGATGGCTCTCTAGCTGCTTTAGTCATGAGACTTTTGGGAGCAGAAACGGTCAGAGAAATGCTGCCTGAGTGCATTGTGAATTTCTCTAAGTTGTGCGATTCACTAAGATTTTCCAGGTTTTTGTTTTTG